TGACTCCCTTCTTTCCATTATTGTAGTCTCATTTAAAGCCAGTTAGCTGGCTTCATTCTTCTATCCTAAGGACCTCCAACCTTTTCATTCTGACCCTGCTCAGAAGCCCTGGGATTCTGTGAACCACTTCCAGCTCCATCACGGCTCTCCTGAAGGGGGCCGTCAGAAACGTATCCAGTGTTTTGGTACAAAAACTCCATGGGAAGACTTTCTGCTTTGTTTACAATACCTCCCACCAGTATCCACAAGGACTCCTAAGTGCCTCTCAAGGTAACAAGAGGCAAGTTGGAGTCCATGATCTCAAACACAATTTGGGTTGCTTTTCACTATATGCTTAGTCTTTACTTTTCTGACCATTCCTAAGATTTGGTTGGATTTTCCTGCACTTTTACATCAGCTCAGAATTTTTATTTTTCAAGTGAACTTCACATCACCTGTAAATTTCTTCATTTCACCTGTAATTCCTCTTGAGGAATATTTATGAAAATGTTAAAATAGAAGCAACTTCAACTTTGGTCCTCAGTGGACCTCACTATTTGACATAGTCTTTTATTTCTTCCTTTAATCCCCTCAATCCCATGATAATTTAGTAGTTTTACTTGCTTGTTTAGAAAAGAAAACATTTATGTGTAGAAACTTGTGATTTTTTTTTGCAGATGTTGCCTACTGGTTAATTGTCTTGTCTATCTTAAATCAAGTTCTTTGACGTCCTACCTACAGGGTAACATTTTCCCCCTCTTCCTGAGTTATCTGAAAGTTGTTACGAGAATAAATCCTAAAACTTTGCATCACAAGGAAAAAAAAATTTTTTTTCTTTGTTTTCTTTTTTATATATCTATACAATATGATAGATGTTGACTATACTTATTATGGTAATGAATTCATGATGTATGTAAGTCAGGGCATTATGCTGCACACCCTAAAATTTACACAGTGCTGTTCTATCAATTGTATCTCAAAAAAATTGGAAGAAAACTCTGAGAAAACCAAGGAAGGGACCCTATAAAATCAGGATACTGGTCATCTTTGTGAAGGAGGGATACAGGAAGTAATAACTGGAAAAAAACATAAGGGAACTTTCAGGGTGCCGGCAATGTTCTATTTCTTGACCTGGGTGGTGGTTACACAATCATTTTGTAATAATTCATTGATTTGTACATTTTTGTTTATTTCATATTTTATCTTATTTCTGTGTTTTATTTTTTATTGTTTTAAATCATTTTAAAAAATAATTTTAAAAAGTGAATGAAAGAGAGTTAAATTCAAATTATAATTCATACGTCTCTCTCAGTAATTTATTGAAGTAGACAAAAGCAAAGTTAGAACTTAAATAACACCATCAACCAATTTAACCTAATTGATGTTTTCAGAACAAATCACTGCTGAATACACATTCTTTTCAAGCATACATGGAATAACCAGCAAGACAGACTACATGCTGGGCCATAAAACAAGTCACAACATATTTAAAGCATTAAGGTAATTCAGAGTATGTTCACATATGTTCTCTGACTACAATGAAATTAAATTATAAATCAGTAATAGATAGCTAGAAAATCCCTAAATGTCTGAAAATTAAACACACTTCTACATAATCAATGGGTCAAAGAAAAAAAAATCACAGGGAAATAAGAAAATATTTTAAACTGAATTAAAATGAAAACATAGTGTTATCAAAATTTGTGAGATGCAGCTAAAGCAGTAGAGAGAAATTTATATTATTAAATTATATTAGAAAAGATCTAAAATCAATTATTTAAGTATCTAACTTAAAAAAACTGGAAAATGAATTAAACCCAAAGTAAGTATGAGGAATAATAAGGTAAGAAAAGAAGTCAATTAAATAGAAAACATACAACCAACAGTGAAAAAATCAATGAAACCAAAGCTGGTTCTTTTATTGTAAAATGTAACACATCACCAAAGTGCACATACATGAAAAACATACAGCGCAATGATGTACCAGTAAACGCCTTCTAAGTACCACTTCATCAAGAGATAGGACACGGCCAGCACCCAGAGTCCCCCTCCCGTCCCTTCCCAGTCATTAACCTCTCCCTCCCTCTCAAAGTAATCACTATCCAAACTTAAATGCAAATAACATCTTTGCTTTTCATTATAATTTTACCACCTAAGAATGCATCTTTAAGTTCTGGAATTGAGTTTTACCTGTTTTTATTAAACTGCATATAATGATAATACAGTTTGTATTAGATGTGTTTGCCTTTCACATATCTTCTTTTGTCAAATGTCTGTTCGAATCCTGTTAACTAAGTTGTCCTTGAAACAATCAATACACTTGCTAAACCTCAAGCTAGATTGATCAAGATAAAGAAAGTATAAACAACCAGTATCAGCAATGAAAGAACTGGCATCAACTACAAATGCTACAGACAGTAAAAGAATAAAGAAATGTTATTAAAAACTTTATACTAATAACTTAGTTTACACAATGACTAAATCAGCTAAGTGCGTGAGAATATCCCCAATACTTGAAATTTCTTACCTTTCAAAAACCTTAAAAACTGTCCTTAGACCTGCGTTTATCTCTAAGTCATTTGAAAGAGGACAACACATCAATTTACCTCAAAAAACATCTTTCAGTGCCTACGATGTGCGCTACCATTTTAAGGATTCCTATTAAAGACACAGTCTTTTCTCACAGTCATACAATCTTCATTCGGCCCAGTGACTCCTGGAAAAACAAACACGAATAAGAGGCAACACTAGATTTATTAAAGATCATAATGCTATCATTTATTGGAAAGAAAAAATAATTGTTTTATGATATTTTGGGGAAAAAAGTTTACTTATCAGTAAAATTCTTTCTCTTCGAAATCAGCAAAAAGAAAACAATCTTCGTTGCATGAAACAGCGTCTCAAGGTAGGAAAAGCAACACACGAGAATATATTTTGGGCTATAAAAATTTAGTTACGCCATCAGCAGCATCCAAAATCAGCTGAGTATACAATTACAAAAATTGATTCATGTTTTAACAAAGTGTTTTAAAAGCTCATCCTACGAGAACAGGCACAATGTTCTGAAGGCATTTAAAACCCCCATGGGCTTCTGAACACCCTTACCCTCAACTTCACAATGAGAATGTACAAGAGCTGTGAGAGATCAGAGTTCAGAGGTTTTTAACTTTTTCCTTTCGTTGTTCAAAGTGGCTAAGTCAAGCAAATACACTGGAAAAAGCAACGCAAACACTTTTCATAGCAGCAAGACCACAAAACTGCATGTAAACCATGGTTCTCCTTCACGACCAGTACAAAGTTCATTCTTACTTAGAATAAGGCTCATCGCTTCCTCCTGCAGTAAGGAAGTTTAACAGGCGGAGAGCAGCATTCTGCCCAGACACCAGTCCCAATTTGGTCTCCAAGGACGCCTCCCAAGCACCCACAAGGGTATTAAGTCCAGGCAGCCAATTGCATCAGGGAGCTTCTGTCCACGCTGTGTCTATTTTTTGGTGCTGCTTATTAAACGTGGTGACTCTGTTGCGAATATACACATCAGTAGTGATTCGTTATCACGATGCTGTGGGGTGACCTTTCTCTTCAAACAGCCATGCGCCTCCTGTCTAGTGAACTCACTTTTCCCTGGTTTCTGCTCACCCCGTCTAGAGAGAGTTTTTGTACATTTCCAGGCCCGCTGTCAGTTCATCAGCTCCCGCTAAGAAGGATGTACTGCTATTCGGCCAATTCACATTAACAAATGCTCTGACGGTCCCTGGGCTCTGCTCACAAGCTCTGCAGGTCTCTGTGAGGCCGTGCACAGAAACCTGGGCCATCAACAACAGCGAAGCTCAAGTGTACCAGGGGCTTAGGAATGGCGTCTGTGCGTTCGGCGTAGAACCAGAAATAACCGAAAAGTGGGACTACAAGCCCGATCTCAAGTGAAGAACTGCACTCTCCTCTTCACTCCGTGAAAAACCCTCAAGAGCTCAGACTTTCATAAAATGATGAATTAAGAGTCACGTTAAAGTCACATGACTTAATCTCCCAACTTTTTCGATTAAAAACTGCCCCCAAATTTATCTTTAAATTACTTCTGAATGTAAATTCCTTTGTTAATCTTGCCAAGAGCTACACAGATAGAAATCTGTATCGCACCCCGGGCAAAGATCAGTTAGCTTTCTTAAAAATGCTATCCGCAAGGAAACTACCGCACATCTTAAAACTTATCCCCCAAAATCACAGATTTTAAAATCAAAAGGACTATGCCTGTCTTCTAGCCAAATGGCCTTATAAACTTTAAACACTGATTTTCGTGGTTGTTGCTTACTTGCTGACAATGAAGTTTAAGGACAGGTTGTGAATTCTGAAGTATCTGTAGCCCTGCAGGAGACTCCTGTCAGGACTTATCTGAGGAAAGAGAAGGGAATGTGGCCCCACAGAAAAAAAGAATCCACAGCCACTGGGCTGCAGCTCTGCTCCCCACCACGTCTCATCACTCGTGTGGTGACATCTGCTACTCTCGGGTGCTATCCAAAGCAGCAGCAGCCAAACCAGTGCCCCTCACAATTTTTTATTAAAGGTATGACCCACTTCTTAATTATCTTTTCTATCAGAAGCATCCAAAGGCAATTTTATTTAGATGCATTTCATGATTTCATTTCTGGCTCCCTGAGCAAACACTGGCTGGAGTGGGGAAGGTGGTGCTCAGTAGACAGCCCCTGGTCACCATTCAAGAGTGACTGACAGAAGCTCGGAGCCCCGAGATTAACCAACCCAGTGAGAACGCTCAGCCGGAGAGATTGTTCAGTCCTCCCCCAGGGACAGGACAGCCTGTCTAGGGGACTGAGACAGGGAACCTCAGGTCAGGCTTCAGCAGCAGTAGCCACGGGCACAGACACCCAGGGGAGCTGGGGAACCTCTGGTTCACATCCAGCAAAAGGGGAGGCCTCTTAGACAGTGAGACAGAAGAACACGGAAGGCAGCAAGTTAGTAAAAAGACCCAATGCAAACAAGCAGCCTCTGAAGGGCGGGGAGAAGGCAGAGAGGGCCAGGAGGACTGGAAGCCGGCCCTCCAGGTCTGGAGAGCAGCACTGCTCCCAAAACAGAGGTCACAGGACCAGCACGCCCAGGGCAGGGCGTTCAGGCCAGTGCTTCCCGCCCAGCTGCAGGTCTACAACAGAGTCACCTCAAGGGTTCCCTTTCTTCCAAAACACAATGATCTCTCCTTCACCCTGCAGGGAACGTAGGATGACAGAACGAGGAGCAGGGAAAGAGAGACCACTACCAGCCACGGGGGCTAAAATTCTAACTCTCCACTCCCTTGCTCACCCATGAGGTTGCTTGTAACCAGCGCTGTCGCTTGGTAACAGTTTTCAGCAGATTTGAAATGGATTTCCTCCTCCCACAGTCCAGCAAACAAAAACGAGGAGGAAAGCAACCAAAGGATAAGGCGACAGAAGGAAAAACTTAGGAGCCTGGAAGATGCTGGAAGGCAGGATCATCCACAAGCTGCCGGGATGTCCGGACTGGAGCTGTCTGAGCAAACTGGCCACAGGCCTGAAAATTAGGGCAAAGCAGGAGCTTTTATGCAAGACCTGGCGCCCTCTACTGGTGAGATCTGGTAGACCCCTTGCCCTCTGAGGCTATTCCTTCTCTAATAATGGAGACAAGACCACTAGCCCCACAGTGACTGGGAATATGCAGTGAGATAATGCCTGGCAATGTCTACAATGCTAGACACATACTACCGAATAAATTTTCTTAAATAAATTAATGGTCGCAGTCACCCTGTCACCTTCAATGGCCATTGGGTATTCCTGGGATTAAATAATAATACCCACCTTTTACTAAGATATCATTTACCTATGCTGGGCCCCGTGCTAAGCACTTGACACTTTTCTCATTGACATCCTGCGATGATCCAGCAGGAATTTTTAGCCTCATTATTGTGAAACAGACGAACAATGTGAGGATCAGAGGTGAAGTCACTTGCTCAACACAACACTGGAATGTGACTGAGCCACAACTCATACCCAGACCTGTTTGACTTCAGAGCCCACATTCGCCACCACATTATACACGCCCAGTGACATCTTAACCTCAACGTCCCACAGAGTCAAGTCCAGCCTCTAAAAAGGGCCCAAGGGGGTCTGCCTTTTAGGTGTTATCACTCCAGGCTGGTTGAAGCTCATAGTGACCAGGCTGGCCTCACACTGGCTCTAAAGAGAAGTGATAAAGACTCCTGACCTCCTCCAGGCCCTTCTGAGATCTGAGCTATCTCCTGGAGGCACCTGGGATGTGAAGGAGCCTCCCACCAGCCAGAGGGTAGCATGCACTTTCCACTCCTGGCTGAAGGCAGGTTAGGGGCCTCGGCAGAAGACAGGATGCCCTCAACAGCCTAGAAAAGGACCCAGTAACATCGGTTCCTCACCCTGGCCCCATCAGGCCTGTTCACACCTCTTCAGCTCAGAAAGAAAAGCCTCGCCAGTCTGCGGCCTCAGCTACAGCAGGAGAAAGAAGGCAGCAATCAGCCACAAGCAAGGAGACAAGCGGTGGACCACTGCCTTTGGTTTGCAGGTTCCAAGACCAAGAGCCAGTGTGGACTGGCCAGACCTGGGTGAAGAATAGAAAAGCAAACCCAAACAGACTTCCTTTGGAGGTCCCACAATGCCAGGAGCTCTGCCGATCAAGATAAGGCATTTTGATGATCAGGAGCAAAAGGGCACACAGGAATGATGGGGATCCTACAGGTCCAGAAGGAAGGGAGACCAGGCAGGAGACGGTGTGACGACATAGAGGGATTGGGACCAGAAAAGGCATGGGCTTGGCCGATGAAAACAGGGAAAACAGTTACAGGAGGTACCACCAGAGCCACACTGGAAACACTGGGGCACAAAGGAGACTGAAGCTGGGGCACCCGGACTCAGGGCTCAGCTCTGCCATCAGCTGTGGCCTTGGGTGGATCTGGTAACATCTCTTAAGCCTTGACCTCCTTGATCACCTAGTGGGGTAACAATCCCGGCTTAGTCACAAGGCTCTTACGAGGACTAGACAAAGTCGGGGACACGAAAGCACTCTGTATGTGGCCAGGCATCAGGCTGGGACAGGCCACCCTGCCGCCCCCCAGCTTCCGGCACCAGCTCCAGTGCAAACTTGGGGGCTGTTTGAAGGTCCCTGGGCAGGCCTGCCTCCTTCTGCTGGTGCTACAGTGGAGCTCTGTCTCCCCACCTACTCTCCCCTGGCCCCATCCCAGGGGAGAATGGAAAGTAAACTCAGTTTAAAAGCAAGCATTTATAAACAGGGAAGAAAAAAACAGCAGAGAGAAGCAAGACTTTTTACCTCCTGCCGACTCGTGTCTAAAAGGAAGCAGCAGTGTTTTCTGCTGCGGCTTTGTTCCCTCTCGGTCTCATTCCAGGGGGTCAAGGGTAAAGATATGAAGGGGGAGCGGGGGGACCCAAGAGAAAAAGAGTGCGCGCTAAGTGTGAAGGAAATACATTCCAGAGTCAGTGTGGAATCAGAGGAGCGAGAGAGCCTGGTTCAGATTTTAAAATAACACACATCACCCAAAAGGGCCCCTTCTGCACGTCACTCTGTGGCCACGCTTCTCACGGGCTCATGTGCAGCTGTCAGGAGGGCAGAACCACTTGCCCCCAGACACCAGAGTAGAAGTGTGTCTCCAGTGTGGGGCAGGGGTGACAGACCCCAAGCTGAGGGACAAAATTACAAAGTCCCTGTTGACCCCCAAACTCTGCCTTGCTGCTGCACCCCTGCCGTCCCCAGTCGGGCTGCCTGTCACCACCTGGGAATCACTGGCTGCCCAGGCTTCTCTGCTGCTGCTTAACAAGGTTTTTATTTATGAGAATTCAGTGGGACACCGTCCAAAGGCGCGTGAGTAAGATTCGACTCTGTCAGATACCAAACCCATCTCTCATATTCTGCTACAGACATCTAGGTCTGGGAACACACCCAAAAGCAACCCTCCGATGTTCAGAACACAAGCAACGCACCGCTGCAGGGTAAAAGGCACGTGTCTGTGAGACAGAGGTTTTGAAGATATTTACAACCCGGTCCTCCAGCTTCCATCCACATCCTGCTTTCCAACGCTTTGCAAACCTGGCTGTGTGTTATGCTAGACACACAGCAAAACACTTCTTCACAGCATCCCTAGGAAGAAAAAAACACAAAGATAAACGAGAGCTCAGCACCCCAAGGGCTCCTGTAAGTGGTGAAGACCCTCCTTTAGATTATTGCCTGGGTACCCAGGGTAGCACCCTGCAGGGCAGCAAGCACCCAGACTAGGTGGTCGGATCTACGCAGCATCAAACCTCGGCTTCAACATCTATTAGTAGTTTTATCCTGGGCAAGTACCTTGTCTAACTTGAGTTTCAAATTCCTCATCTGTAAAAGGGGACCTACAGACCCGCTGGGGAATTAGTGCACTGAACAGAGTAGGTATTTAATAGCTATGGTGACAATCAGAGGAAAAGACAGGAAGCGCAGATGACCAGAAAGCAAGACATTAGTCGGGACTGTGCATTTTTTTAATATCAACCAGAATCGCAGAATCCACTGGAAGTACTAAGTCAAACAGTCACTAGGGCCGTCCTTCCTCTAAGCAGACAGCAGAAACTTGTTAAGGGACATCTTGCAGGCGTTCCCAAGCACAGGGAGCTCTCTCTAGGTACTGAGAACTAGTTAACCTGCTGTATGAACTCCTTGGAATTCAGGTCAGAGTGTGCAAGGAAGGAGCAGGGGCTCGGCAAATCACTGTTCTCTTCACGCCGGCATCTCCGTTCCACCAGCACACCTGGCCGCGTACCAGGGCTCCCCAGCCCGGCTCTGCTCCTTGTGTTCTCGGCCGCACTTGGGCCAAGGACGCTGCAGCCACACGAGGGAGAGAATTCGCATGAGCAGGCACTGCGTTTTACTAGCGAGATAATTCTAGCACTGCATTTCTTAAGATACGCTCTGCAATGAAGTCCCAGCAGACGCTCTGCACAAGAAAGGGTTTTATGGCCAAAAAAGATCTGTCATGGCTGCTCACAATAACATAACATGTTAAAAAAAAAAGTGGAAAGCTGGAGCCTGTTCGAAAAAGCCACCCAGCTGCCTTTAACGGGATGGGCTGGTCAACCTCTCATCTATCAGTCGCTTCCCAGCATCTTCCGATCGTCAGCAATGGAAGGTTAAGACCTAATTCTGCTCTTCCTCCTTCCCAGCTCTTGCACGTTTCTCATCTCCGCCACACAGTTAGGGAAAAGCCTCTTTTTAGTCAGCAGGTAATGAAAGAGAAGACTGGAAATTAAATGGTGCCAGGGGGACAGTCAGAGGCAAAGATCTAGTGAAAGTGCTAATTTAAGGAGGTTTGGGGCATCGGAACCTCAGAGTGAGAAGGGGGCCACTCCACTCTAGTTCTCCTGAGTCCTCTCGGGCCGGAGGGGTCCAGGGAGTTGCCCGAGGTCACACTGCTGCTTAGGAAACCCTGATCTCCTGGAGTCCTGGCCCTGCTTACTCTCCCTTCATGAACTCTTTTCTGAAACGTCCCCATCCGTGGGGTACTGCAAGAAAACAGGCATGAACTCAGACCCCTCCGTCTCTTGCTCAGTGATATGAAGGTGATATGCACCTTTAAGAAAATCTCCTCAAAGCTGCAGCTTAAAAGGACGGTGAGCATACACGTACTGTGTATCACAGCAGATGTTGTGCGCTGAACAGAGTAGGTGTTTAACAGGAACTGGTGGACCTGGTCGATGCCCGTCGCTGGCTGTATGATGGGTGGGGGTGAGGGTGACCCCTGGCTTACTCATCAATCAAACAGGTGTATAACATCTGCCTATTCGTCTCAGAGGATTTTAGTTAAAGATAAAACAGCCTGTGTGCTCTGAAGGCTCCCTCAACTACAAGGCCCCGTGCACACACTGCATCATCCCCCAATGACAGACGTTAGAGTCCAAATGCCGTCAGTCTTACCTTGCAAACGGTATGTAGGAAAGGCTATACCTACAATGAAAAACAAACAAAACAAAGATCATATCAAATGAAGGGAGTGGAAGATGACACAGGGGACTGGGCTTCTGAGCTGTACGAGCGCCTGCCGTGATGCATCCAGTCCCTCTCCCTCCTTGGTGTGGAGGGTGCATACACACGCACGCGCACACCCACATGCGCACACACACGCTGGGCCGCGTGTATAACCAGGGAAGGGAGTGGCATCTGTGGCCAAAGCAGGAGGAGAAAAGGCCCGTGGAGACAATCCTGTCCCCTCAGCTTCACAGGGTTACTGCTTTAGCCAAATGAGCCAGCAGGGTCTCCTAAAACGCAGATTCCAGGTAACCAGACGGCCTAGAAGCCCCGTTCTGAAAGAACACCAAATAAAATCCAGGTCAGCTGGCCTCTAACATCTTACAAATCCTCAGCAGAATACTTCTACCTGATTGGGATAGATGTTCTGCTCCGCGCCTTTTAATTTTTGAAAAAGTGAAAAGAGAACAGGAAAAGAAAAAAAAACAAAACCCACTACCAGCTGCTCTGTGGACGAGCACAGTAAGCAAGGTGTGCTTCTTCCAGATCCCAAGCCCAGAGGTACCTTGGTCACCCCGGTTCGCTCCGCCCCCTCGCCTGGAAGGGAACCACAAGGGGAGGAAGGTGGCCACCCCGCAAAGGACCACGCACGGGTGTCAGACAGGTTGGAAGTCACTCAGCCCCAAGAACGCATGCGCATCGGAACAGGTCAGTGTTGGAAGGAACAGGGCCACGTGCCTGAGCTCATATGAACAGAGCCTTTAAAAACTGGCTTCGGCATCGGTCTATAGGCCAAGAAAGGCATGTGTATGTGGGGACTAATTTCTGTCCCCAGCAGAAAACCAAAATATATTAACATAAGCCATCACACCAGGCCCCTTCAGTGCCTGCTCCCAAAAGGCACATCATCTTAAAATCAGGCCATCACTCTTCTCCGTATCTGACACTCACCACGTACAGGGGCTCACCTACTGGAACACAGTAAATGCGCTCTGAAAGCACATTTATTCAAAAGTCCAAAATTACTAAAGGGCAGGATGGGTGCTGGGCTTGCGGTCTCAAGACGCACTTCTATCACATATGATTATACTTGATCCTTGGAAGCTTTGAAACTTTCAGTCCTTTCTTTGCATTGGAGCCAACGTTTTTTCCCAAAGTAGACCAAGGCACATTTTTATTGAAACTGTTCTGCCAGATAGCATCCCTGGATACACTGTGAACATATTATTACAGAAATGTCCCAGAAGCTACTGATTCCATACATGCCACCACCCCCTCACTCTGATGTCAGGCAGGTCTGAAAGGGCCATGAACCTACAGCCCTATCCAGGGTTTTGAATAAAGGACCACTGGAGAGTGGTCCTTTCACTCTGCCTGGCCCCTGGGCCACACTCCCCTGACCCTGCTACAGCCCACAGCCACGCGGTTTTCCATTCCGTCAGCCACTGTTCCTCATCTCCTGCTGACGATTCACTCTTTGTCCTTCTGTTAAATTATTCATCCCATCACAAATGTAACACTCATTGTTTCTCTTATCAATTTCCTTTCTCTTTAATGCCTGTTTGACTCACAAGCCTTTCTTTTTTTAACCAGCCCCTACGATACTTACTGTCCTTGCCCTTGCCGGACGCAGAGTGGCTGAATAACATTTAATAACATTTATAACATCTCAAAGACGACCATGAACCCAGAAAACATGCCACAGCGAGAAAACAGCCTCCCACGACCACTCAGGACCACTAACGCCACCTACTGGTCGTGGGCTGAGTCGACAGGCTCTTGCCCTGCAGTGTGACTTGGTTTGTATTATTAAGGATTCATACACTGATAAGCTTCCGCTTTCCTAATCCTCCTACGCACGCCCAGTGGGATTTTACCTCCTTCAGCTGCATTAGTCAGAGGTGGACGTGGGAGGGGACTGCTGGAAAGGTTACTTACCACGTCAGGGCCAGAGACTGCAAGATGCAGAAGATGAGAGCCAGTCCCTTGTTGTGCCACTAAGAGAAAAATGATACGGTCACATGAACATGTGTGACAAGAGGCACAAACCGGAAAGGTTAAGGAAAACTAAAATACACACTTACCCAAAAGGCAGAACACAGGGTGAGCGCAAAACACAGCTAGAGAGAGAAAGGAAGTATTATTTAATTAACACAATAATGACAACATGGAGGGAACAAAAAAACTGTAAAGACATCATCCTTGACAAACTCAAAGTAATACTTATCAAGCTGCAGTCACCAGATTCTGTGGTTACCAGAGCAACCAAAAGCATCCTTCATTTCAAAGCATTTAAACCTACCTGAGCACCCATGTTTGGTAGAAGAGTTCAAATCCCAATGAAATGAAACTGGCCAATAAGGAGTCATGTAGATTAAAAAGAGGAGGCTCCTCTTCTACTTTCACATTTGCCCAAAATCTCTGCCCAGCAAACACAAGTACATTTCTGGTCCATCCATTCATCCAACCGTCTTTTCATTCAAATGTACTAAAGTAGGTTTAACACACACCTCTTCATTTTCACTCCTGCCAAACACTAGGGTCTAAAGTAGAAACAGCATGTGAGGACAAAGATTAACATGGGATGTCAACCTCACAGCCAGTTATTTGTTTACATGTCACCTAACACTTTCCCCGAGTCCTTTCTTAGAAAGTTCTTTCTGCAAGAGACTTTCCCAGGCCATCTCCACCAGGGCCATCTCCGTGTCCTGGCTGAGAACAATTAGTACTCCAGCTGTCAGTCAAGCCTGTCACCTCCAACCTGCTGTATCAGTAATTATAAAATAAGTAGAACCCAAATATTTCCCGTGCCCAGCACAGCGCCCAATGCTCTGAAAGGTCACAAAATAGTAGCAAATGTGGCCATGGCCTTAGAGAACTTACCTATTTGAACAAATGAGATGTACACAAATGAAACTAAAAATAAAAGGATGCTGATCAAGTTCTGGACATTGCAATACTGAAAATTATAATAGAAGTCCAGAGAATGTGGTCTGGAAAGATGTGATGGTCACGGGGAAGGAAATGGTCCAAAGGAGGGAGAGGCATTCTGGGTTAATAGGACAGAAGGACAGGACAAGACTGAGGACATGGTTGTGAGAACAGGGAACAGGGGTGCGGGGCCATGAGGCCACCAGACTCACTTCAGGAAAACTGGTGAAAACAAACGGGATCCCAAAGTCAGACAACGGTAAGGGGAGACAGAGCCCAACCTAGGAGCCTGGACACCCACTCAACAGAGAACCTTGTGCTTTGAGTTACTCCCTCTGAGCTCTGCTTGTATGTGGTTTCACCGACCCCCAGGAGGGTGTCCGAATCTCTTATTACCATGAGTTTGGCTAATCTGACAGGCAACACCTCTGGAGGTGCTTTAGAACTGGCAGTAACTTAACACCAACTGAAACACAAGTCGAGGGAAGAGAGGAAAGATTATTGCACGAAGAATGCTCCCTTCTGCCACCGTGGTTACAGGCATCGGGTAGTCAGTCAAGACGAATGGGAAAAGGGCAAAAGTCTTCAGGTTTAAGAGGAAAAAAATTCCAAACAACAGCACCAAAAACTCCTTTAGAAATCCCAGCCAGACACAGAATACAAACTTGTGGTTGCCAGGGGGGAGGCGGGTGGGAAGGGACAGACTGGGAGTTCGAAAGATGTAGATACTGACAGGCATATGCAGAATAGATAAACAAGATTATACTGCATAGCACAGGGAAATATATACAAGATCTGGAGGTAGCTCACAGCGAAAAAGAATGCGACAATGAATATATGCATGTTCATGTATAACTGAAAAATTGTGCTCTACACTAGAAATTGGTACAACATTGTAAACTGACTATAACTCAATTAAAACAAAAAATAGAAATCCCAGCCAAAGGCAGACCTTACCAGCACCAGGATGGTTGCAATCAGACGCGTAGGCTCGAACATTCGCTTCAGCTGTTTCATGGGTCCCATGAGGAAGACGGTGCTGAGAGGCAAACACACACAAGCCGCTCAGGCCAGAGCCTCCCCATCGCCTCCCCCAACTCACCTGCGGCAGGAATAGCAGTAACAGTAGCCGACACTTAAAAAGCTCCGGCTAGTGGGAAGGGCACAGCTCAGTGGTAGCGCGCGTGCTTGGCATACACAAGGTCCTGGGTTCAATCCCCAGCACCTCTATTAAGAACAAGCACACAAATAAACAAATCTAATTACCTCTCCCCCCAAAAAATAAGTAAATAAATAAAATCTTTTACTGGGCTAGGTATTGTGCTTAAGAGCTTTTTGTGCCTTATTCTCAGTTAGTCTACCAACAACTCATGAAGCCCATCATAGTAATAGTTATCATAATGATTTTGCAGATGAAGAAACTGAAGTCCAGAAGGCCCTGCTACTGATCCAAGGCCACCCAACTAGCCAACAGCAAAGCGAGGCTGCAGACGCTTGTAGGTCTGGCTCAGGAACCACGTTCATGACCACTGGGTTAGAGGAGCCCCTCCTCCAGGTGCTACCCAGCCTCCTTAACAACCCACCCAGGGAGACAGACAAACAAACAAAAAAGACTCAGGCAAGAAAAAAGAAACACCACATCATCTTATAGGCTCGGGTTGGTTATGTTAGAAAGCAGAGCATTTCATTTTCTTTCAAAATCTCCAGAGACTAATTCTGATGATGACAGTACCACCACCTGTGGTTTGCGGAACATCTGCTAAATGTTAGACACCGCATACAAGACCTCATTTCATCCCCTCGACAACGCTGCTATTATTACACTTATTTTAGAGCTGAGAAAATGAAGCTCAGAAAGGTTAATTCACTTATCCAAGATCACACAGCTAGGCACTTAAAAAGCTGGCATGCACGCCCACATCTACCGGATCCCAAAGCTCTGAAAGACAGCCCCAGTATGCCTTCTGGAGGAATGGACCCAGAGGTGGCTAGTGAGAAAGGGTAACAGAAATGAAGCAGACGCTCAGGCCTGATGCATCACATGGCAGGACCAGCTGTATGTCTTGCTCCCCGACTCCTGATGGAAATGTCCCGTGTGGCATCACCCCAGGGGTAGCTGGGGACAGTCAGTGTTTAATACAAGCCGACCAGTAGATGACATTAGCTGCTGAGTGCTCAAAAAAATAAAATTTTAAAAATACGTCTACCTCTTTTTGAAGTGCCATTAAGTTTCCATCTGAATTCAAGGCTACACTCTCGGGTCAAGTGTTTGAGCTGAGTGTCCTCTTTAGCCTACGTTGAACAAGCAGCACTGGCCAAGGCTGGCCTTAAAAATTAAATGCAGCAAACATACAAAAATATGAAAGATTACAGGTAACGCCACCACGTCCTGGACACACCCTGGAAACAACAATTCGTTCCCTTTACTATTTCCCTCGGCAATGCTGCCAAGGGTCAGTCCCACTAGGATTTGCGAAATAGTTCTTTGGAACTAACCAGCACACCCAACTAGGTATGCTCAGTTGAGACCCTACATCATAACCTACGCTGTCTGCCCTAAGCAAAACTCCCTAAAAGTTAGTATTCGAGAGAGCTTTAGAGGCTCGATAAGAAAGACATCTCCAAAGGCCAGCATTCTATCACAAGACTCAAGAAAGTAAGCTTTAAGAAGGTGGCCAGTGTCATGCACTCAATCATCTGGTTAACATTTCCAGCCAGAAAAAGACCCAGGTTTGGGGACAGTTAAGGACAAGAAAGACAGAGGTACAGCCCTTGTCAAGTGGGTCACGGACTTGTAACAAGTCAGAGTAATGAAATGCTATCTGTGCTGTCACATAATATAGATGTATTTTATACACATATGGGATGTGCAGTCCCCATATAAAGGAGGTCATCGATTCTGGAGGGAAAAGGTAATTAAGAGAAGTTTCATAGAAGAGATGACATCTGAGCCAGGTCTTGACTAATGAGCATGTACCCCCCAAATGGGGGTGCAGACAGGCCAGCACTCCAGGCAGAGAAAACAGCCCGAGCAAAGGCACAAAGGCTTCTGGGGAAACGCAAGTGCAGCCTGGCTGGGGAGGATGACTGGCTAAAGCCAGACCTCGAAGGGCCTGTCCTGTACACACACTGAGGGTTTTGGACTTCACCCACACGGAGGGACCGGGGAGCGTCTCTGGGGGTTAATGAATGGCGCCACAGCTCTGTGGAAATGGCCTAGAGAGGAGCCAAAAAAAAGGAGGCAGAGAAGCCCAGGACAGGACCCCTGCAGTCGTTCAGATAAGCAGTGATAAGAGGCCAGAGCTAAGAGCAGCTCAGATATCACCTGCTCCGGGAAGCCCTCCTGGCTCCCCAGGTCAGGTCAGATCAGGCCACCTGCCCCTCCCAGAGGCACCACTCTCTCCACATCCTATTATGTTATTGGTTTATACATCTGTCTGCCTGGCCAACCAGAGTTCCATCACAGCAGGAACCAAACCCTACTTGTCCTTGAATCCTCAGAGCATGTGGGTCAACTGGTGAGGAACAGCAGTAAGACCAGAGCAATCGGGAGGGCGGTGTTCAAACCTACGCTCTGCGCCATATAAAGTCACAATGGTAGGACAGTCCCTGCTTTCTCCTGGGGTTCAAAGATAAACTAAGATATAAAAATATGCTGAAGTGATAGGATATGGAAGTGATGTATTTTAACTACCTCTTTCTTCTCCAAATCCTTGAAGCTACTGAAGTATCCTCCTTCACCACCTTCCAAACACAACCCACACCCATTTTCCCATCTAATAACTGGCTCAAGTTAGATTAAAAAAAACATTACCTCCCAATAGATGCGATGTTACCAAAGGTATAAAACACTGCAAAGAGGTACAGTCCCTTCCTCGGCACCCAGAGGAGGAAAGTTCCCTGGAAGACACGGCACAGGGTGTTTGCACATGAGGAACCAGGAGCACACAAAGGAAACTGTCCCCCTGCCCCACCCTCCCGAGCATCCCCTCCGCCTCCCCTACCTCCCTCTCCTCTCCTGCATGCATTTCAGTGAAGAGCAAACGAGAAAAGCAGGTGGATGAAAGTGGAAAGAGAGAAGGAAGGAAGGCAGGAGGAAAAGACAGAGGAGGGGAGGGCAGTCTTACCAACAGCGAGCAGAGAATTCCTGCAGCAAAACAGGCAATAAAGCCTTTTATTCTTGTACCCGAGCTTAATGACGTTGCCTCCACAACCTAAAAATTTTTAAAAACGGATTACATACATGTATACACATATTTAATCACCAAAACAAAAGATGCACGTAATTAAATTTGGCCTTTAGACTGAGGAAGGCAGGAACACAGAATCCTACTTGCTCAGAGCTACAAAACCCCTCCTGAGTCAGTGAATCCAGCTCCTCATCCACCCGGGAGTCTCCTCTTGAGCAGCAGATGAGAGGTTACCGGCTGGACACGTCCAGAGGTGGAAACGCTCTGCTTCAAGCACGACGCAATTCACAAACAGGAAGGAGGCATGACAGCAGACCCCAGAGTCGCCTAGGCCCTTACAGCAGCCCCAGCGGGACGTGGGCCACAACAGGAAAGGCATAACTGCCGTGAAATGGGGACAAGAGCAGTTGGGTCCACTGGGCATCGCATCGTCTCCTAATTCAACCAGCCAAGCTTCAGCGCACGTTGCTCCTGTCGGCCTTTCTGAGACCCAGCGGGGCACAGGCTCTCATCCTGATCAGGACCCACCTGAATCTACTCACTCCTGGTGCTGGCATCAGCCAAGTCACCCACGTGTGAGACGGCTCCTAGTCAATTAATGACGCCCTCCTCCCTCCTCTCTGCCACCAAAATTAATCCCTCCCAACAGGAAGCTCAAAGGCCAAGATTTCTAGAAAAATGCTGCTAAAAAAGAGAGACTGTGAGTAGCTCCCAAGGGTTTTTTTCCCCGCATTAAAGGTGACAGTCAAGTGTCTGCACCAGAGACCTTCCTCGTCTGGCCACCTGATGCAGTGGCCACAGCTGCTCCAAGCTGGGCAAAGGCAGCTGCCAGTGAGACCAAAGGTCTTTCCTCCTCCCAGCCGTGGCAGGACACCCAGGGCTCAGAAGGCCACCGGTCACAGTTTTACCACATTTCCCCCCAGCTGATGGAGGAAGGCAGTGGTGGCAGAGGCAGCAGAGGCTGCCAGGTCCCTAGACCAGCAACTCCCCTAGCCTTGAAGGCTCCCAGCCCAGGGGCCAGTTCTCAACCCTGTCTCCAAAATTCCTGCCAAACCAGAAGCTGGGAGGGCAGGACCAGGGCTCCCCTACGCGTGGCAGGCTTTGCTACAGAGTGGCTTCCTCCCTACGCAGGAGAAAGGTATTTGGGGCAGATTATCAAAAGGGGTTCTCCTCCTGCCCCACATGTTCACACGTACTGAAAGCAGGCTCATGACACTGCAAGCCACCCACCACCCCGCAAACATACACACACAGCACTTGCAGAAACATGTGGCAAATATGACCCTGCACAGAACAGCGTGCTCAGGGATGGTGACAGGCAGAGGGAGTGGACAAAGGGGCCACCTGACTCCACGCTGGGAAATCCTCTCCTCCCAAGTGAGCCATGTGATGCTCTGCTATCAGGCACCCGAGACAATTGGGTTACACCCCTTCTGACCAACCTGTTCCACCTCCCATCAAGGATAGGAGAAAATCAAAAGCCACCACCCCTCCTACCCACACAAGCACCAAAGATCTTACCTTGGCCAAGGGAGGAAAAAAAAAAACAGAGCTGCACAGAGGGAGAAAAGTGTGGTACCGGGACTGGATGGGATTCCTTGCCTGAGCATTAACTTGGTATCAACAGAGATATATTAAAAGATTCAACCTTTTTTAAAAGGCAATAAGCCATAAGGTTAAGTATCAATTTGATAAGGTTTTGGCCTTCAGAAGCAAAATAATCTCAATAGGACGGTGAGATGCCGGCCCTTATAAAAATCAAGATCGCTGGCAACAGGAAGCAGTCCCGGTTTCTACCCTCAGAAAGGAAAGTGACATGTTGGCTCTGCACATCTCTCAAGCTGACCTCCATCCAAATGTCACCCTATTTGCCAAAACGGGGGAGAGGAGCTGTAACTTTTCATCATTGTGCTTTTCCACTCCAGGTGGCTGTCAGTTCTTTCACACCCATGCTTGGTCACAAGCAAGAGGGAGCTGCTGCTCCACTTCTAACTGGACCCAGTGAAAGTTAAAGACTTCTTTTTGCCAATTTGTGAAAATCAACTCCGTTTGATGTAAAAATGTCTCCCTAAATTCATGGTTTCTGGAAGCTGCTAGCGCACTTTTCAGAAATTCGAGTAGCTGAAATAGCACCTTGCCAGGATCTGCAGGCAAACAGCTCACAAGCTGTCTGACTGGCAGGTTTGCACAAAGGTCCCTTTGACGGTGGGATGTGGAGAGAAGAGGGGCTCTTGCCCAAAAGAAGAAAAGCTAAGAACTGTTCGGGGAAACAGGGTTGGCATAAGCAGAAGAAAGTGAGAACGCAATACTGCCTCATTCCTGCGCTTTCCATCCAGGTCCCATTCAGACCTTCCGTGCCCCTGGCTGGGAGCCTGGAGAGGCAACACAAAGTCTATACTTTCAGAAAGAAGCTCGCAGAAACTGAAGATTGAAGGCGGATGTATGAAGACGAGGTATCAATTAGAAACCTCATTGTGAGGCTATCTGTGACTGGACATTACCAAGCAACTTTTATAACTCCCTGGTTTCGTATTTAGGGAAACAGAACTAGTCATACTTTAATTCTTCACATTAAAAGAACAATTTTTTTCAAAGCACTCACGTCCAGTGACCTCTGACCGCTTTTATAATTGAATGTGAAGAGACCTTAAGGTCCCCTAGTCCAACTTACCACACAGAATAGACATTTGACCAGAATCCTCCCACTTTGCCAGCCTCCAAACCACGGGAAATGTGAGGCAATCAAGTCAGCGCCAACACTGTCAAGGAGGCCCTGACCTCATCAGTAAAAACTAAGCCAAAACGACCCGGAAAATTAACTCAGCAAACACAAAATGTTTCCCGGGAGTTGGGGACTCAGGAAGTGTCAGACGATGACGTAGGTGAACAGGAAATTCGCACTCAGGGAGACGAAACTGCCAGCAGTGTTTCAGAACAAGAGAAGCACCTAGTCTTTCTGAAATAGATTTAATGCGTGCCTGAGCTTACAGCACTTCAAAGCTTGTGTCACTGTATCCAACACAAGCATTTTAGGTGGCAACAAACTCAGCATTTACATTTTTGATCTGAACTACATCATTCACTCTGGAGGGTCTGTCCACTGTTTCATGATGATTTTTTAAAATCATAATATCTGCATCATCCCCGCTGTCAACACTCCTCCCCCAAGAGTCCTCAGGAAGAGAAAGCATCTTCCTCCTGATCCCCAGCTGCTCTAAAACCTTATTGACAGTCCATGGGGCATAAAGCTGTAGATAAACATGACTGTCCACCATCTAAGCTTTCTTAGGCCAGTCTGAGGTTTGACTCATAAGTTCCTAAAAGAAGCAAGAAATCAAAAACAAGGAACTCATGAAATTACTCGTAAGCCTTGACTAATTAATAAAAGCATCAGATTTATAAGAATCCACAGGCTGTTTTGAAATGTCAAAAAAAGAAGTTAAACCCAATTCCCATATACTCCACGTCTACAGTGTTACTGCTTCAAGGTGAAGATTCAGAGAGCCACGTTTTATGGTTCTGAGATTTTTATGGAGGGGGTAGAACTATCAGTGTCATACAAAACTCAGAATAAAATCAGCAACCGCAAAAGTTGATGACAGAAGCATTCTGAGATAACCACAAGAGACACTGATTAACATTAGAGGAAAAACTTGGGTTTCGAGTTGAGAGAAGCCGTATCATCTTGTTTACCACCTTCATTTTACAGATAAGGAAACTGAGGACCATGGAATATACCAAAGAGTAAAGGGCAATGTTATTTTGTCATCCACAAAGGAAAAACAAAACAAAACAAAACAAAACAAAACAAAAGCTGAAAGCACTAAAAACAGGAAACATTCTGTGTGGTTCTAGAACATAGGGCATTACCAGTGCCCAGGATTCAGCGAGACCAAATCTTTCAAATAAAACAAGCAAGCATGCAGGCGGCCCCATGAGGTCCTGGGTCTCTACAGGATCGACGTGTAGGCAGTGTGAGCACAGAGAGACAAGACGAGGTCCCTGCCTTCCAGGCGTTCATGGTTTTCGTGGAGTTTACAGCAACAGTGCCCACAAGGTCGGGTGGGAGTGTCACACCTCACTACCTACACTGGACAGGTACTCTGCCCGGGGCACCGGGGCGCAGAGAACAGGAACCGTCACCCAGGTCCCCGGCACAGGAGATCTTCCCCACTGGGGCTCCCCGCGCCAGACTCTCAGGGGCCCCTGCCTAGCCTGGCCCTAAGGCCCTTTCCCAGGCCTGCGGGAACAGATCGATGGCCCGGGATGGCGGCCCCTCCCCCTCGCAGATGTTTCTGGGTTTTGCTCCAGCGCGGCCCTCCCTCTGTGGGGGGATGGGGCGCGGAAGGTTGAAAAGCTGCGGGACAAAAAGTAAGCAGGTGCCGACCGCCCGGTGCAGAGTATCTGGGCCCTGGCACCTGGCGCTGCAGGAGTGCGGGGGTCCCCTCTGAGCCCTGCAGGGGAGGAGGA